AGCTCACGGGAATCAGTACAAAACACCCGAAGCATTAGCAAAACCCGATAAATGCATTGAATCGGGTTCGAAGAATAGGAGGTTTTCATGCCCGTTTGTTGGTTGTTGCCGGAACAAATCGCACAGCAAGTTTCGGCCGTTAAAATCGGCGATTTGTGTGAAGAATCACTTCAAGAGGAGTCATTGTCCGAAGATGTACTCGTGCACGCGCTGCAACAAGAAGAGTTTTTCGGTACTCGCGGATTTGAAAAGCCATTTGAAACACTGTGGAGAGACGAAGTGGAAGTGTTCTTGTGGTACCAGTTTTTCTCGAAAGGACAAGTTGTTTGGTCACATGGCGTTGTTCGAAGGCCACATGCCGGCGATTGAACCGGAGGAGGAAGCAAAACCCCCGGCGGCGGCTGTTGAGGATGACGTAGAAATGGATGTTAGTCGCGGGTCAGATAACGGGTTTTTGGATATCAGAACCGGGTCGGATAATGGGTTTTTGGATAGGTTAATGCTCGATGGGTTTGAATCTATTGACAGTTATTGCTTCCAAGATTTACTGGAATCTTCTTCTCCAAATGGGTTAAATACAGTTCCAGATACTAATGAATGGTTCTCTTAGCTTTTAGATAATTGATAGTGCTGCTATATGTAATTTTTATTCAATCTAATAAAAGATTACTGGTATTTTATTTTCTGTTTCAATAAGTTCCTTGTTGCCGAATCAGAATCATGACCATCGAGGGATGAGACAAGATGAATAAAATGCCTTCAAGTTGAATGGGAGGTCTATAATTTGATATTTTAGATCACAAAAAAAAAATAAAAAAATCACTTATTATGAATCGGAGGAAGTATTGGAATAACACGAGGATTGAGGAGGGTGAAACTCTTAAATACCTTGTGTCTATGTAGTCCATAATGTGGTAACAACTTCTTGTGATGGGACAAAAGAACCCAAAAGAGAACAATTTTTTGAGAAATATAGATGAGAAAGAATGTTTTGTGTTATTCCATCGTTTTCATTTTTTGTTTTGGTGAGAAAAGGGAATTTATTCACATATGAGTTGCCAAGTTGGATCTTACATCTCGTGGAATACACTGCACTAAAGCTGTAGGATCAAAGCCTAAAAGGACTATACACATTAAAACCAAAGTAATGTAAACCCTTGAGGGGTATTTAGGAGATTGATTCTTCAGAACAAGAAATTTACTTTTTTTTTCTGGGTACAAAATCAAATGCATTTTTCTGTATGCGAAAATATTGCAAGTGCACTTAGGAGACTGGAAGCCTAAGTCGTTTATTAGAATATTAATTTCGGTATAAATCTTGGGATTACATTTATCCAATGTTTGATTACGGATATTAGTTAATATGAACGCAAGTATTATAACTGTTGTATTTATCACACATTGAATGTGAGATTATAATCTGATTATAGTCCAAGGATAACTTTGTTGCTAACCAAATGACCTCATTGGAAAACCTTCTTTTTGCATAGTGTTGAAAGGTCATTATCTTAAATTATAAATAAAGGATCAAAGTATCAAATATTTGTAAGGTTTTGATATATTTAATATTTTTGAATTAAAATCAATATATTAGAAACTGTATAGAAAATACAAATCAGAACAATTCTAGTTATGAATTCTACTTTAAAAGAATTTAACTGAAAAACAAAAGGAAAAATAGTTTGGCTATTCAAGGAATATTCCCTAGTGCCTGCATTGATCTTAGAGGAAAGTTGAAACTGGCTCCACTTATAGAGTGTAAATTAGATTCCAAACAATTTACTATTACTAATTAATGTGAACTCGTAATAGAAAGAGCCAGAGTCCAACGAGATGGAAGTTCTTCCTCTTAAATTTTAGTTGAAAGAGTGTTCACTTCTGTAGAGATACATATATGAGTTTTTGTACTTATGTGTCTCATCCTAATCAAGGGATTTCACGTGTCAAATTGTACGTATCTTTTGCACATCTCACATCCAACTACACTTTAAATAAAATATTGTTAAAATGATGAAATTAATTAAATCTAGAGTTAGGGTGACAAAAAAATTTAGTAAACGCGACTTTCGACCCCAAAACGCCATTATAAGTGCCGTCAATAATGAGAGAGCACATTGTGTATCACTGTATTGCACTCGAACTTTTACTCTCCCGTGCTTTTTTCTATCAAATGCGGATCTCACGAAAATCAAATAGTTTATGTCAAGAAATTCATCAAATATATATAAATAATTGATCGTAAACTTAATTATTATGATATATTAATTTGAGATTGTTTTAAAAATCCAAAAACTTCAAACGTTAAACCCGGCTCTGCTCCCTACTTTTGTTCATTTGTTGTGCTCTGATTTCATCAAAATTTAGTGGCCCAAAGTCAACTTTAAGGGTGGTTTATTAGATTCAATAAAAATATACGGATGGAATGGGGTGCCCCTCGTTTAAATCAAAGTTGGAAGGATTTGGCCCTTGTTAGAATAGGGAAGTACCCTTTCGTTTACATTGTTGGCTTTTCGAAATTATATATACTCCTCCAACCGTACCTTTTGGTTATTAAAATAAGAGTGGAAGATATATAAAGGTGGATTTAAAAGAAGAGACAATGAATTTGGCTTTTTGAAACACATTTCTTAGAATACATTCATGTGAGTCTGAGACTTTAATTTTATTATTGAATAATGAAAAGAACTGAGCGAAAATTCTAAAAGAAAAAGATCTCTTTGAAGAAAAGAGCACACATGGTTTGGGATAGCCACAAATTAAAATTAGGATAGTTAATTCGCGACAGGAGTAATCTTTATGATTTCTTAGAATAATGATTAAAGAGAAGAAAATAAATTTTATAGTTAACGCTACCAATTGATTTCTCTGTTGCATTCCATCATTAAAACAGTAGAAAGCATATTGAGACTAGATTACTGGTAGTTTAGGGTACGTTGAAAGTCATTTTCCACGAAAACGTTCTCCAATAAACATGAAAATTTTAAAATATAATTTCCGTCACTTTTTTTTTTTGGGTAACTACTAACATATTTTATTAATCACCAAGCAAACATCATTACATAATGGCCATGACACTGCTAGCTATCTCAAACAAAACAGCTAAAACTATGAATCACATTCCTAATACACTGAATCTATATAGGGCTATCTAATACGTCAGATTATGCAACACCGCCTTAACTCCTGGGGGGTGCTCGCACATTACACAAATATGCAACTTCCTTCGCAATAGTTTCACAATTTCTGCTCTTCTTTTCGAATACTCTGTGGTTCCTCTTCATCGATATTGAATAGCCACATTCAGCATAGACCATTTTGAAGATAGTAGCCTGGTGAGTTCTGTTGGGTTTAAGCTTGTTAGAGCTCTGTATACGGTCGAAACTGATTTCGATCTTCGTACGTCTGATCGAGATGGGAACATAATGAACCGAAGAAAGTCTTCATAATATCGAGATGAGATCCGAAGAAGACACAAACGAGCTTCAAATTTCAGCTACAGGTCAAATACCGAGTTCGAAGTCATTATCGAGCTCGGGTTCGAATCGAACTATGATGAGATGTGATGGTATCGAGCTTAAGGGTCAAAGGCCAACCAATACCCAACCCAAGTCATTACCGGACCCCAAGTCAGCATCGACCTCAAACCCGCATCGAGCTCTAAAATTGGAAACCGACCAATACCGATTCCGATCAAGATCGAGCTCATAGACAAGAGCCGTTGCAGCCGCACTAAGGGAGAAAATCTCGGCGGGAATTAGGAAAAAATTAATTTATCATGGGTTCCCCACTATCTATTTTTTATTATATTTAAAGTAGAATCTCCCACTATAAAAAGGATAGCTATATTTCTGTAAGGACCAAGTTTTGGCATACATTGTAACTGAGATATCATACACTCCTATATTGAAGGGTTATCCTTTTTGAGTTTTATAGATTGATTCATCTTGCTTAAACCATAAATCATCTTCTTTCCAACTTTGCTTATTTTTCATTCTCTACAGTCAACACTCGATATTTCTATTCATTCTTATGATTTGTGTCAAGTTATACCACATACCCTTAGAACTACGTACAAATTTAACTCTATTTATTTTTCGGGTAAACAATTTGGCGCCCACCGTGGGGCTAAGGATAACAGTGGATATTTGACACGAATCTCTAAAATACTCACTGTTTCACGCTTATTTTGAAGCATCTCTGATTTCACACTAGCAACAGCGAACTCCCGATTAATGGACTTGCCTATCAACAACGAAGCTAACCTTCAAGATGAGAACAATAACTTGGCGCCCAGTGGCGAAAGGCCGCTCATCAACGCCACTGGATCTCGAGTCGAAGTACCATTGGACGTTAACTCACATGTGGCCATCGAGGCATACCAACGTTCTGAACCTTAAAATAGCATTCATGGTCGTACTCGATCTGCAGCTCGAGATACCCATAACGTTGAAGAAAACAGAATCAGCTTACGTATGATTTTTGAAATATTGCAAACTCAACAGGTAGCAATAGCTCAGTTGCAGAGTCAAACATAGATACCGAGCAGGTCAGAGCCCAATCCGCCCCGGGAAGTCACCCATAGAACGAAGCCAGCTATAGTAAGGTCAAATGAGCAAGAATCGGGGACTAGTCCCGAAATTACTAAGATGTTCGAAGAACTGACCAAACGAATAGAGTCAGGAGAAAGGAGAATCGAGGCAAACGACAAAAAAATAGAAACATATAACTCCAGGGTTGATTAGATCCCGAGGGCACTACCGATATTGAAGGGCTTAGATTCCAAAAAATTTGTACAAAAACCTTTTCCCCCAAGCGCGACTCCTAAACCGATCCCAAAGAAATTCTGCATGCCCGAAATTCCTAAATATAATGGAACTACCGAACCCAACGAATATGTCACCTCTTACACATGTGCCATTAAAGGGAACGACCTAGAGGATGATGAAATCGAATCCGTATTATTGAAGAAATTCGGTGAAACCCTGTCAAAGAGGGCAATGATATGGTATCATAATTTACCATCTAATTCTATCGATTCTTTTGCTATGCTTGCAGATTCTTTCGTAAAAGCGCACGTCAGGGCCATAAATGTCGAGACCAGGAAGTCGGACCTATTCAAGATAAGACAAAAGGATAACGAGATGCTAAGGGATTTCGTATCTCGTTTTCAAATGGAACGAATGGATCTGTCACCAGTCACAAACGACTGGGCTGTTCAAGCTTTCACTCAAGGTCTAAACGAACGAAGCTCGATGGCTTCATGACGGCTGAAGTGTAATCTGATCGAGTACCCAGTTATTACTTGGGCCGATGTGCACAATCGATATCAATCCAAAATAAGAGTCGAAGACGACTAGTTGGGTTCTGGGTCCGTTATTAAAAGGGCTACCAACCAAAGGTCGACTAGAGACCGATACCGACCGTGTAGTGGAAATCTTACAAGCTCGGTGTGATAAAATGACAATCAACTACCAAGCAATTAGAACGTATCACGCCTAAAACGATACTACTGCTAAGGTACGAACCCCTCTGTTCAATTATATTTCGAAACTAACCCTTGCAGGTGTTCGACCAAAGACGGACGGATTATTAAACTCGAAGCCTTTAGGCTAGAAAGCATGTGTTGCACTCTTTTTTCCCTTAGACCGGGTTTTGTCCTAAATGGGTTTTTCGGCAAGGG